TTAAAATACTAAAAATCACGCCCCTAGGTGGGGAAAAAGTATGCTAATGAAACATACATGTATGTAAATGAGATACATAGCTAAAACACAGGTATAGAGACATGTTCAGTAAAGAACTTCCTGCGTCACTCCTTACAACCAATCAGCAAACAAATACGCTGGTGAGAGCTTGAAAACTCCTGTATAAAAGATGCTTAGTGGTAGTGATCTGGTATGCTTGTTACGTGAAATTATTCCGCTTGCACCTTTTATTGCTAGCAATAAACCTTCTTTATACTTTCACCCCTGGTATCTTTATTGGCCTTTGCATACCGGGCACGATCCCAGACTTGAGCTGGGGCTCAACAATTTGATTTTCCTTTGTATGGAAATGATCCACTAAGTTCTGTTCAATATCAAGAAACAGTTCTCCTGAACTACAAGTACACTGTCTTCCCAAGCACTCCTAAAACCTGTAAACAGGATGGTCAAAAGACATTACAGTTGAAGGTTAGTCATTTGAAATATAGATCCACAAAGCCATCTAACTTTTTTTGTTTTATACCATCTACATTTATTAAATGCCTATTGGGAAGCTTCACTCGTACAGGCACAGACTTTGCCTTCATTTGGCTCTACAGTGCTCACTGTACTCTGCACTAACTACAGAAGTCCTCTCCTTTAGTATCTTTAAGGTGTTCAGACACTTCCATTATTATTGGCCTAATTTCTTCCATTGGCTCATAAGCATGCCACTACATGTTCCAGCAAAGATACCTTGGATATTCCTTAAGTACACCACATTACACAGAATCCCAGCTTAAAGTGCCCATCGTCTATCCCAGTTCCTTCCCCCCAGCTCATTAAGGAAGCCTCCATTTCCTGTGGGATGGTTGCCCAAGACAATGATAGCTTCTTCCTTCAATTGTTCTGTGAAACTAAACAAGTTCAAAGGTTTAAGAAGAAGCAATGAAGTTTAATTGTTATCAGCTCACAAGGCTGATGATAGCTTACTATGGCAAAGGAGACTGTTCAGAAGCCAAAAGCATGCACATAGGGCCTGACCATCACCCTCAACTTCTTCCACTACACTGACTCCCTTTCAAGCACAAGGGCACATCTACACTAAGGAAGACCATGTTTTTCCCTCGGGAGGAAAAAATCTAGCAAAGACTGGACAAATTTGTATGCGATTCACATTGTCAAGGTAAACCCTACCCTGTAGCTTAAGCTTTAATGCATGTCAGCAAGTCAAGGCAAAACTATAAGTTGTGCCTTATTTTCACTTTAAAAGTCACCTTATTAGTTATCATGCTACATAAGAGGTAAGAACTACTTCCTTCCCTAGATAAGACAAGGGGAAACTAACTGCCAAAATGAATCCTTCCCCTCTTACGAAAAACTCTTAGGTGCAGCTCCTTGTGTGTGAAGCTCCCCATCTTCAGCTTCCAGTGAGTAGACGATTTTACCTCCCATGTAGCTCAAATGCAGCAGAACACACAGTGAGCCTATCCACCTCTCCTGCCCACCTCCATCTGCTCCACAGCACAGGCACGGTCTCTCCCATGTCCTGGGAGGGCACTACGTTGGAGAGTTCGGAAAGCAGCAGGATGCTGTTTACCTGGTGAGATCTGGTGGGCACACTGTTTACCAGACACCCCATGTCAGAGGGTGACTTCCGTGGAGCCTGCTTAACCGGTGACATCAAGCTCTCAGAGGTACTGCAGCTGACGAGGTGGCAGAGCAGAGTTTGCAGGACAACATTCAAAAGACAAACAAAAAAAAGGAACAAAAACAAAAGCGAGTGATGGCAAGATGAAGCGGCAGGTTATGCCGAAGTAAATGTGATCATAATGGGTACACTGGGACCAACTTACATTCTCCTTCTTTGTCCAGTCACTATGCACTTATACACACACGCACGCACGCACGCACACACGCACGCACCCTCTATAGGAAGGTAAGCAGCAACTCTACCAGCGGCTAGCAGCTTCCCCGAGTACTGTATTGTCTACCACTCTTCCCCAACATCCACAGTAAGCATATTAAGCCACCAGGAAGCAAGTCTTCTTCCTTGATGACTCAAATTTAAGGTAACATATCAGTGACATGCTATACCCAAGCTGAACAGCACAGCCCTCAGCACACAGAAACAGGGTACTATTACCACAACTAGAGACAGGACTACCAGCTCTACCATACCATGCAGGCAACTGCATGATGTCTCCAAACTAGTTATCTTATATTAGTTATCATCCAGACCAATTCAGTCCCTCACTCACTAGATGTTGGTGTCTGTAATGGTCACCACAGTAGTCAATAGCAGTAGATTGGCTATGTCAGAGTTTATAGTCCACTGGATTTATAGTAAAATGGAGCCATTATTTTCATGAGCAAATCATGAAATCGGAGGAAACTTTAATATTAGCTCAGTTCAGTTTGATTTTCAATTTTCTCCCTTCTGTCTGCATACAAGAGGGGAGAGAAGACACCTCTCTGGAAAACTTATATTTCCCCTCCCCCTCCTCTTTTTAAACCCAGGAGAAGTGGCCCTTCAGATTTTTGAGACAACCCTCCCCCACCCCAGCAACCTATTTTCAATCCTCTGCCATTCATACTCTTCTTATCTACATACAGGCACTAAAGAAACAGATTAATAAGTTCCCTTACTATCCGATAACTAAGCATCCTCATCTCACCATACACCTCTACATAAAGAATGCACGCAGCCAATGACAAACATGTGAGTAACGATACTGACATTGAACAGAATGCCTCTCACAAGCCAACCTTTTTGTTTATCCAGGGGCTACGTAAACTTTCAGAGACCTGGCCTCTCAAATATTTAACAGGCAATAATTTAAAAGGGAAGTGCTGATGGGAGACCTACCAGTGAGGGGCTTCCACTCTTACTGGGACCACGCCAGAGCAGCCCTTTGGGCAATTAAAATGCATCAGCAGTGATTTCCTTGGATTCACTCAAAGTATTCCTACAAGTCTGTATCGTACCTACAGGTTATAATGCAATTTTAAGAAGCTTGTGCACAGAGAGACTATGGTGATGGGTACTTCAGAAAAACAAGGTTACTGTCACGTAAGCAAAACAGGCATTGGAGTTTGGCTTTATTTCTACAGGAAGAGTCTGAATTTCTTGTGTTCTAGTCCATGCACTGGTGAGTTCTCTACTGGAAGAGATCAGTGGGACACAGTCTGGGATTAGCAGCATTCCCGCCCTGATTAGACATGAGACAATGAACCCAAAGCGCTTAATGAAATGGATCACCCCTCCTTGCCATTCTACGCAACAGATTCCAGCACGAGTTACAATGGAGTTATGTTAGCACAGAGCTAGCTGGTTAGTCAGCAAGGGAAGAGGAAATGTGTACACATACACACGGGTATTAAACAGCAACCACCAATGAATTAGTTACCATGGTGTCTAGTGGGACTGGAAGAGGAGACCCAGCACTGTTACATTCCCAATCTGGCATCTATATCAGGATCTCTGTAAAGAGAGGAAGATAAGCAGGATCCAATCCCAGCATACCAAGGCAGAAAGGAAAAAAAACAAAAACAAAAAAACACCAAAGTCAGTAAGAACAGAGATTGTGTCTCTGCCATGCAGGGGTGCCAGATACCACCCAAGTGCCCCACCCCACTTCAGCCCAAGACAGAATCATTATCTAAATACCAGTGCATCATACCACCACAAACCAAGTTAGTTTCATTTAGAAACAAGTCTGCAAGTCTGTGGCATAGATGTGAACAGTAACCACAGCACATCCAGCCTTCCCCTACTTCCTCTTAATCAGTATGGCATGCAGCAGTGGTATAGTCACTGAAAGCAGCATTAAGTTCAAATATTATTTTGCTGGGAGGAAGCCTAGAGTGGTTAAATCTATTGGAAGAACTTACAGTGCATGGATATTACCAACCCAGCCCTGGCACCACGGTGTGCACTGTTCAGCCGGAAACACTGGAGAGCAGATCACTCATGAGCAAGGCATCTGGACCCTGGCACAAGAGCCCTTGCCTGTCAGTGCATGCTTCCTTTAGGTATTATTGTAAGAACACATGCAGAAAGGGAAGCAAGGCTTTCCACACTGAACTCCAAGCATACACACCCGCCTTCACTTCATTCAGTCTTACCCACTTTCTCTAAACTCTCCAGCTGGGAACAGGACAGAGTAGGGAAAAGTTCCATTTAGAGACACCCAGAAAGGTTCCCTTAGGGAAGGGAAGTTTCTTTTATTGTCTAGGTAAATCACATAAGTGCAAAAAACAGGAAAGAATGTGTTGGGGTTGGGATATAAAAGTATAGAACCTGCTGCATTCAGTTTTGGTCCATGCAGCTTTGCATTCATTGCGTCTTGGAGAGTCAAGGGGTGGATGAGGGGAGGGAGTGAGAGCATGTATTCCCACAACCCTGCTTAAAGCTTTCATACTGTCCCCTCAAGCAGACAGGTGTTTTTTTTAATGAAACGTGTTTGTTTTTTTTAAATCTCAAGTGGAAATGAAGATAGGGAAGCCACAGCATGAATACAGAGAGAGACTTTTTCTTCCTTAAGTTGAATAGGGTGCTGATAAATGGGGATAGATGCCCTACTTACACAGGGCACTGGAAACAAGAAGTCCAGAGATACTCTCTCGCAGAGCATTTCATTGGAAACGCATCTAATCCATGGCTCATTTTGGAGCAATGGGGGAGATTTCCTATGGGCACAAAACTGTGATTTGGGGACAACAGAAGTTCAATGACTTCAATAGGAGTTGCACATGCATCTAAGGATAGATTTGTCCTTTCAAGCGTAGTATAGAGCAGGACAACAATGATGAGGCACAAGTGTGGACATGAATCCCAGCTATAAAGCCAGTCCTCCATTTGATCCTGCAAGCCTATTTGAGAGGTTGCAATAGCCAAATCCTAAAGATTTGGCTGGAATGAGTCCTGCCCCATTTCAACCCCTTTGGTCCTCTTTGTTCTTCCCACTACACACTGAGGAAGAGAGAAGAGTTCTTACCCAGAATAATGTTTTTTTAGAGTTCTTCTTTCTGACGACGATACACGCAATAAGAGAGATGAGCAAAACAACACCTACAACTGCAGCAACGGCTACCCCTGCCACCATCATCATCGGGAACACAGTCAAGCTGTCTAGGGGGAAAGGAAAGAACACAACATTCAAATCACCTTCATTCTCTAGTTCAGAAGAGTCAGTGTGAACCATAACACTTCCCCCCCACTAATTTTGGAGCAGAAGGCAGTCCTACAGAATCACAAGCACAAGGCATGAATGGAACAGCAAGCAGAGGACAGTCCTATGAGCACAGGGCATGCATTTTTGTTTTCATGGAGCATATTCAAAACTGATTTAATTAAGCTAAGGATTTTGACCCAGAAGTCAAAAGGATAGAAGGTAAGAGACTGACAACCTTAACTCATAGGGCGCATCCACACATGCAGGCACGTGCGCTTACAGCAGCTCAAATAGAAGCAATGCAAATTTGAGCCAGGGCTTTTTGCCTCAGCACATGTGCCCAGACCTAAACTTTGGTGTGGTGCAAGTTGTGCCACTTGGGGCAAAATAACCCTGCCTGGCTCCTCCTGGATCTGCAGCCAGGGGGATCTGGAGCCTGGGGCCAGCACCTGTGCTGGCTCCAGCAGTGTAAAAAGCTGTCCTGGCAAGCAGCTCAGGGCTACTCAGTATCAGGTGCTTCTGGGGCCTGGCCAATTAGTACCTGGGGACACTACCCCTTGTGCCAGCTGGACTGCTGAAGCAGCCCTGAGAGTTCCCTGCCCCCTCTACCCACTGCAGCAGTCTGGCAGTGGGGGCTGCTGGCTGGCTGTGACCTGCTGGGCACTTGCCAGACCCAGATAGGGAGTGCCCAGCCAGTAGAGGCATCTGCCCCTCTGGGCCAGTCGCCAGCGGGCTGTGGCTGCCGAGTTGGCCTTTGTGCAGCACTACTGCCATGTGTGCCCCCTGCCCGGCCATCTGGGCAGCTATCATCCGGAAGATGTTCCCAGTGTGGTGGCCTCCTTTGAACTGTCAAAGCATGTCCTCCTGGCCCCAACTGGCCAGGAGGTCAGCTACCTCCACCTGGGTCCAATGAGCCAGCTCTAAGCAGGCTCCTCTGCCTGGGTCCTGCCACTTGCCTCCCTAGCAAGAATTCTGGTGATCCCCATTTGAAAACTGAAAAATCCCTGATAAAAAAATCCCGAAGTCACTGTTAAATACCCCAAAATCCATGTTCCTATATATAGATATATATGGGGAGAGAGAGAGATTGATTTATATCTATAGATATATATATATCAATGTCTAGAGAGAGATCACAAGATCAGTTGGGCAATGTTTTATTGATATATCTAGTGTTAAAGCAATTTGGAAGCCTACCAGTGTCTCTATCATCATAATAAAATGAATTCTAAATACCTATATGTTTTGCTGTTTGCCTTTGGTTTTCTTACCATAGAGCAGTTAGAGCTCCTCCTGACCCCTTCACTAAACAGGATGTGGGGACAGCGGCCCCTGAAGCCACAGCTCCTGCCAGCAGGTCCCATCCCGTCTGGCAGCTGGAAACACAGGGTGTGCGCGCTAACGGAATGCGGAATTTACAGAAAGGTGGTGGGAAGAGGGGTTGGGGGATATGGAGGGATGTGGCATGTGTGGGTGGATTGTGGGGAGACTGTGGGGGGGCTGCACAGGAGGGGTGGGTCCCCTGCCCCACACAGGGCCCAGCCCTCCCACGCAGCTCAGACTCCACCACACAGGGGCCACATAGCCCCACCCCTGCTTGCTCCCCCAGCCCTGCAGATAAGTGACCCCAGTGGCAGCTGCTACTGCCCGGGGGGGGGGGGTTTTTTTTTTTTTTTTTTATTGACAGGATGCTGGGGCCAGGTGAGGCAGCAATGAGGGGCAGGTGGGGGATGGGTGGGGCAGGCAAGGGTTCCTCCATGATCCCTCCTCCAGCCCACTCCCTACTTATCGGCACAGAGCCCAGGGCCAGCTCCCTGTATGGGCAGGCAGCATGCTTCAGCAGGTGAGGGTCAACCACAGAGATGCTCTGGCTGGCTACCAAAGCGTCTCTGTGGAGGATCCGAGCCGCCGTTTGCTTCAGGGCATGGTCCTGCCCTGCCCCACTTTTTCCCCCGGGTATTTTTTGACCCCTACATATCCAGGGGTCTAATTTTGCCCCTGCACTCCAAATTTGCAGCACAGAGAACATTTTTTGATTCCCACACGTGCCTCTTGCAGTGTCTCAAAGGGCTATGAGATGCTGCAAAAGGCACGCGCGCGCTCGTCTGAACACACCCGTAGTGTTTTACTTTGCTCTCAGGCAAAGCAATAAAACTTTCAGTGAAGTCCATTTTAAAAAATAAATAAATAAATAAAAAGGGATGGGTACATTTGAGGGCAGAGTTGAATTTGGCCTACACTGATCTACAAGTGAAAACCACTGTACAGGAGCCACTGTTCAGGTGGCAAGCACCCAGTTCAGTTATCAGTGATGAGTCTACAAACAGGAATATTAAGATTACCCTTAAAGCTTTTATTCATGCTTCCTACACCTTCAAATATAATCACTATGCATTACTGTAAAGTCACTCTCTCTCTCTTCTTAAGCAGGGACACTTTAAGTACTATTCCAGTAAACTGAAGAGGTAAGTGGATTCTCCCCACAGCTTCCCGCTATCCACTGTTCATAATCTACCCTTTGCTTTCAATTTATTTGCAAAAAGAGCTTCTTTTTTTTCAGCAGGGCAGGGGGAAGGAAAAAACCCAAAAAACAAGAAAACACACCCCAAGGGCTTATAACGGAGTTCTAAACGTGTTATTAGGTATAGCTCTGCTGTTCAGAAGAGGTTTTCTCGTCAACATTTAATATGTTCAAGTGCTCATGGTTCACCATACCTTCACACAGGCAAAACCACATGGTCTTCAGCTTGCCATGCCTAGCCTGAGTGTGCGGTACACCTTTCTGGAGCTAGCACACCAGTTACATAATGGCATATATTCAAATCCTGTTCATTTTGGTTTTCTACCCACTTTCAATAGCAGTGTCACAGGAGAAGCTATCTGCTCCCAAGTCCTCTCAGGGGCTATGCCATCCTTCTAGCAGAGGAAACGTTGATGGTCATCAGCTCCTTTAGCGTGCAATTTATTTTTTGTTTCTTGTTTTGCCACAAAAACAAAAGTGTTTAACACATTTTTTCCTTCCAGTGAATGGAGCCATCCGTAACTTCCACCTCTTATGGAAAGGAACCCCAAAGGTTGCATCTCCACTTCAGGGGCAAAATGGAAACAGTGAGAAACTAGTGAGCTTTACTGGAGTCTAACAGACATCATACTCATAATGCAATTAATGCATTAATCATGTTATAAATAGTAGCCCTGCCACACAACAAATGTGGAACAACAAAACAAGAAGCCAATCAAGTTCTACGGAATTTTTTTGGCTGTTCCCCATTGTACCATAAACTGAAGGTGTGGCTCAGTAAAGCTCCACCACACGTGCCAGCCCCATGTAGGGCTGTCAGCCTGCCAACATATGGAGAGCCTGTCAGCTGATGCTGCACACTGGCAAATTTAAAGAGCCCCATCGAAGGCATGGTATCAGGGACTAGTCCCCCATACCATACTTCCCATGGTACCCTTTGAACATCTGGATAGGCAGGGAGCCCAGCATCAAGGACACAGTCCCACCCACCTGTCATGCAAGTGAGGGTTTGATAAATTTTATCCAAGATCCTCAATATTGTGTGTCCTGCCAGCTGGGGGCAGGGAGGGAATAAATAATAAATAAAAATCCCAGAAGGCTGAGTTACAGTGACTGAAGCTGGCTCTTGATTGAATCTGGTTCTCATAATCCTGCCCTTCCAGAAAGTAGAGCATTAAAAAAAAAAAAAAAAAAAAAAATATCAATAAATAACCAACCAAACACAATGAACACCAACCACTATATTTTTGATTAAGTAACCTGTATCAAAATTCCTCATTTTTGTACCTTCATTCTTCAATTTATTTCATATTAACTAAAGGTTGACATTTAAGGGGTTTTTTTGGAACCAAAACAGACTTTAAGCTACAGATAGCAACCTACACTAGATGCAAGCAGTTACAAAATGTGAGTGAACTTAACATGAACATCCTAGTTTAAGGGGCAACAAGTCAAATGTATTATTAAAGCCTTCTGCAGGTTAATTTCTACATCTAGTCTCTTTTGGGAGTGGCATTTATACAAAGGATTATGTGCATCTTCAACATAGGTCCTTCCATGCTTGGCAAATTATTGGTTCAACTGCCACAGAATAGTCCAATCAATGCATTTCAAATCTGATTACACTGTATTGCATAAAATTGACTGTTAAATTAGTAAATTAATCATTTTAACTCAAACTAACATTCCAATAGATACTAAGATCTTCTATTCATACTAAAAAATATTCCTAATTTCTCTTAAATCTACTACCATAATAGTCTGTTCCTATAACCAAGCTTTCAACAGTGGTAATTTTCTTTGAGATTCTTAGTTAAGAGGAAAAAGCTTGAATTGGCTTTATGAAGAAAAAACAAGCCAACAAGGATTTTAAACAGTCTGACATGCCACATCCAGATTGCTCAACACCATCTTTTTATGCCAAGCAAAATTCTTGCTGTAAGCAGTTCCCTTTTTGTAAGTAGGACATGGCTAAACCAACGTAGGGAGATCAAACTTTTGCTCTCAGTTACTTATTAACTTCATATTTTCTCCAAAAAGCTGTTGCTAAGCTTGCTATTGAAACACAAGTATATATTTTCCTCATTCAGGGAACTGACTTGGGATACATGCTTTAAGAAAGTCAAAATAATCAAGTTGTCACAGTAAAAGTCTGCTATTTATCAGTTTCAACTGATTCAAAAGTACATTTTTTCCACTCAGTTTACCAATTGTGACAAAACAGCTTAAGATAGACACCCAACTACCTGATTGTTCTGTGACACCTGTACTCTGGCTCTTTCAAGATTTCATGATCTCCCTAGAGTTAACATGCCATGCGTCTTCTAGAAGGTGGGGGGCAGGGATTGTACTTCAGAGGCCAGCTGTTAGTCTGTCTATTGTGCAGATGATTCAGCCTCAAGGACTACAGTTGTCTTTTCTAGTTTCTGACAGGTAGTCAGATCTGTCCTGTAAGGCTCACATGAAGCATCCAGTGACTGTGTGGAAGCATAGGTCAAAGTTGTCATTTTAATTCAAAGAGAGTCATCCTTCCGAAAGATACTGCAGTTAAAACAGAATACAAATTGTGTCTTCAGTCAGCCTCTTGCCATCCAATGAGAAAAGCTCTCTCAAATTCTTGGAAGAGTTTACTTCTGCTTTGTCTCCGGAAAATATGTGCTCTTTGAAGGACCCGGTGATCTCTTTGTCAGTTCATCCTAGATTAACCTTTGGTCAGCATCTTGCCCTTACAACTTACACCCAGGAAAGGACCCCAAGTATTCTCCCCAGCCTCAATTCCCACACTACACTTTCTCTAGTTAGCTGCTGTGGAACTCTGCAATGTTCAGTCTGAAGCTCACAGAGAACAATCAAGGAGCTCTGCATACATCAGGACTTGTCAACAACTGGCAGTTCACAAGGGCTTCATGTGCAGCCCTCAGGCTCCTACCCTACCCTACCCCCACCCCACTACCATTTGAACTGCTGCTGCAGCCAGAGCCTCTCTGCTCCTTCTCCCTCCCTCAGCTTTTACTCCCTGCTCCTGCCCTAGGGGACAGGGCAACGCAGCCCACAACAAGGTGCAGCAAGGGAGTGGAGGTAGGACCACCCGCGCAAGATGCAGTGCTGATGGGGAGAAGTCACCCACAGCACAATGCAGTGCAGGCCTGGGGCAGCCCCAAACGGTTGGGGCCTCACTAGTGTGAACCATGGACCCCCAAACTGAACAGCTGTGGCATATCTAACTGGAAGTATTCACTACAGAGTGACATGCAGTTACTTAACTGTTCCAAGCTGCTGAATTAGCATTAAATACTACTACACTTCATATTTGTTTCTTATTTCAGTTGCATTGAGAGTTAGCTGGACATACAACAGGGGCAGGCATTTATTTTGGCTGAAGGGCCGCTTAGTGAGTTTTAGGGACCTGTCAAGGGCCATATCCATCTCTCTCCTCTGTCTTCTCCCTCTTCTCTGTCACTGTAAGGTCACTCTCTCTCTCTTAACCAGAGTGCTGGGCAGGCTCAGGCAGCTACCCCTTGGCACTTTTACATGTGCTCCAGGGGTGGGGGCAACAGTGCTCCAATTAGAATGGAGAGCCACTCTAATTAAAGTGCCGCAGGGTCTCATGTATCGGCATCCCTGCACTTAAAAATGGTGGCAGCGGCACTTGAACTAAAGTTCATTTGACAGGCTTCAGTTCAAGAGCCCCTGCTGCCATTTTTAAGTGCCAGGACACTGATACATATGATGCAGGAGGCTGCTGGAGCATGCCCAAACAAATAAGGTTTATTTATGTCAGTAGTTTATAATGCCTTGCATTATTACTAAATACCAGTTATAGGACTGGCATCAGCTGATATGATTGGTTAATGATTAGGTATCAGCCAATAAAATCTTTATCAGAGCACCCCTAAGGACTTCATCAAATAATTTGATCCATTTCATATAGAGGCTTCAAATTAGGGCCTTCCTGCCCCTAACAACTATGAAACTATGAATCTCTGATCTTTTATTTTCTCCTCAGAAAGTCTCAGTATTTCATACGCAAGTCACTGGTTTAAGGTGTTTTAAATGATTTAAACAAGTTAAAATGATACAATCCACTCAAGTCTATTTCAGTACACACACAGGATACACTTGAGGCTTAACTATATCTAAACACAGATCTATAATTAAAACAGATGAACTTGTGCACGGAATATCAATGATTACAAACTCAGTCATTAGCACACTGATGTGAAGAAGTCTTTACTGATCTTCACATTTGCTATGCCTGCTAAATCTGGAAATCTGGATATGTTGGGGAATGATGGTATGCAAATTGTGGGAAAAGAAAAAACTAGAATAAGCAGCATTGCTTTAACTACTCTACCTTACACAGAACAGGGTCAGGGGCCAAGAACACAGAGGGAACCAAGAGCATGCAGTCAGCCTGATGTGAGACTGAAGATGTGCTCTGAACTTTAAAATCTATTACTGCAGGTTGGTTAGGGACTGCACTGGGAAGACCAAACAAATAAGTGGTACTCAACCTTCTGGCCCCATGGGCCTGGCACCATGTTCCTCCATGCTGTGCAAGCTGGGATTGCTCACCTTTGAAATATAGACGACTGCAGGAGCATAGCCAATTCTTCCCCTCTACACTACCTCTATACCAGTGGTGGACACCTATTAGTCTTCCTGAGAGCAAAGAGAATCCTTAACAGTTATGAGAGTTACGTGAATACATTTATACTGGAGGAAGGAACATCTAGTACTGCTGAGCAATCTTACAAGCATGCTGCCAGGAGATTACAATGGCAAAGTTTTTTAGAGTATACAAAACAGGAAGTCCATGCTTCAAGAGTTGAAGCACAACTCTCCTTACTCCCCAGCTCTCACCACTACTTCAAAAGATTCAGAAGAGTCCAGAGTGCAAAACACTGTCCAGACAGTAGAGAAACAAGCTCATGTACCTCCTTTCATTTTTTTTCCTCAGTTACCCCTACAACCAAGATCACATTTTCTTCTTTCCCTTCAACGTTATTGAACTGATTCCATAAAAAATGTAATGCTTAAATGCCGTGATTTAATCAGAACCAATTAAATCAAAACAACTGAATAGCTGCCTCCCAGCTCAACTTTAGTTAAACAAACATTAAGTTTTGGTTTCATATAGAAAGAGGAAGTAGCTTCTGCATATAGGACTTTTCTTAACAGGTCAGCAAAATACTGAAAGTGCTATTACATCACTTTTAACATAACATCCAGCTAAAGATGTGCTGTTGTGCGACTGTGGAAACGTTTCCAAAGAAAAAAAAGAAAGTTCCGGGTCAAAGACTGTTTAGCTTTTGATGCTTATATGGCAGAGATTTGTAAGCCTATTAAAAAAAATGCTATTGTGTCAAAAATTTAAGTTCCTACTTGGAAACTGTAGTAGTTGGATGGAATTCCACCTTTCTGAGAACTCAGTGTAGTGATAACACTACCTATATCTGTTACTAACGTGCATAAATTCGACTCTTCCAACCTTGACCTATTCTGTCTCCATTATACCAGATAAAAGAATTCCATCATCTATTTAAGTAAAGGCATGGAGCCAAGAAAGTTTTGCCAATATGATGATACACTGAATGTTAGTTTCCCTTCAGGGCATAAGCTTTCTATGTACCAACCCCACCCCTTTGCAGTTCTACAACAGTCAGACAAAGTATCTGGGATTCATTTTCAGATTTTAAGACATGCCAACGTAACATGGCAGTTCTGTACAAGGGCAAAAGAAAAAATGATCAGGATACTTTCAGTCACTTACAGTGGTTCTGACAGGCTCCACCTATGGTGATGCTTGGGGGAAGATAAGCAAAACCAACAGTCATTCCTAGGCTCAGAATAGCACAAAAAAGAAGAGATGGAACAGCTAGAAAGGAAGTACCTTTCTCCACAACTCTAAGTCGGATCTCTCCTGCTTTGACGACTATGTCGGGTGGGTTCTTGACATCACAGAAGTAAGTGCCGTTGCCCAGGAACTGCATGTTTGCTATGCTGATAGAAGCATCTTTCTTGTTAAGATCTCCAGCCCAGCTGACTCTGTCCTTAAATGGGATGTACTTTCCAGTGTAGGGCTTCCCAGAAGTATAATAAAAGAACTGTAATCATGGAAGAAAAGTAAAAGGAACATACCATTAGAGGATTGAAATGTTAACAATCACTCCCTCAGTACTGTGGAATCACCAATTCTTCTGGACCCTTTCCAGCCTGCAAGGCAGGAGCAGCCAATCCCCTAGAGGAGGGGTTGTAAACTGGGGGTGAGGGCAGCAGCACCCCTCTGCGAGCTGCACAAGTGCAGCCCAGCTGGTCGGACATGGGGAGGGGAGTTTGCATGCGGTGGCAAATGCCACCATCCACCACCCTGCGCTGCCGCCATTCCACCTCCGGCCTTGCTCCCCCCGCTCTGCGCCTGGCCATACACTTATTCAAAAAGGTTGAAAGCCCCTGCCCTAGAGCCAACAGTCCCTACTTTTTCTAGCAGGCCACATTCTATAGTAGGTTGTCCCACTCATCTCCAAAAGCAACATATGTAATTTCAACCTTCAAGTTCATCAACATAAACCATCTGCAAATATTTTAAGTCAAAAGAGTCTCACGCTAGAGGTTGTCACCTGAAGATCATGGATTAGTATCATAGGTCAGGACCACTCTGCCCTTAGTGAATTTTTAACTGGAAGAACAATTCCACACCCTACATGTATGGAACAAGATTCCCAGGGTTCTTGTCCTAACTACACATTTGTTCGGCACTTACCAGAGATACAGTTCCAACTAAATACGTATAATGTTCAAGTATGAGATGTAGTCACAACCACTGCGACAGGGGGAGGAGGAGGAGAGGGAGGGAAATGCAGAATATGAAAGAAGCCTCCCCAGAGCTTCTTTTTAAAGTTTATTTAAAAAGGCAGGTTTTGTTGAATCCAAGAATTTTAAGACATGAAATTCAAAGATGCTCAAAACAGCAACATTTGAGAGGATCAACCCGGACAGCAAAAGCAATGCAAAATTCCTCAGCAGCATATCATACCCTTCCAGAATGTGGGCTGTGGTTAAAACTTAATCTGAAAAGTAAATAAGAATCAGAGTGGTGAATTAAATTACAAATCACCCCGCAACAATCTTAGCTCTGCACCCAGCAGTAGCCACTGGGAACAGTTTGGCAAGTATAATGCTGCAACTTGCAGATCTGAAGGATTATGAAGTGCTATCTGTCTGTGACATGTTCCAGAGTTGCACTGCAGCACTTTTCTGAATTCCAGGAAAATTTACTATGGTCAGTGTAGCTGAGTGGCATGGAATAATTAACTGGAGCAGGTTAGCGAATGTGTCACCAACATGCAGAGAAGCGCAGATGTATATCAATATACCAGATATACACATGCTACAGAACTCATTACTGAGATTGGGCATGTTACCATTAGTAACCAAGACTACAGGCAGCCCTCAGACTTAGACACAATTGGTTCCTGAAAACCACATCTTAAGTCAAAATGTTGCAACTGGGAACTGATTTTCCCATAGGAAACAATGTTATAAATGGGGGATGGGTTCCTGAACCAAGGCCCAATACCCTATTTTCACCAAAAATAACCCTGAATTTTGTACTCAATTAAAAACGAGTAATATACCTACATTAATGTAGGTATATTGTAAATAGCAACCATATTGATTTGGAAGGACTTCTCTGAGGAGACTTTGCTGGACTTACTGAAGGGCTCTTGGTTGGACTTTTTGAATGGTTCTTGGCTGGAGCCTTGGCTGCAGGTTTTTCTGGGGTCTTGTCTGCTTTCTTAAAAAAAGTGTCCAAAGAAGTTTGGACAGATGTTCTCCAGGGAGATGGGTAACACAGCAAACTTGTTCACTGGCGTGGCTTGGCATCAGATCAAGCGTTGTAAAGTCAAAACTGACGTCAGAAAGTTGAAACAGGTTGTCAATTTAAAAGCGTTGTAAATGTGAAACATTGTCACTTGAAACGTTGCAAGTCGAGGACTGCCTGTATTTACCATTGGGATTTTTCAGCAGCCCGTTGGCATACGCGATTGTTTTATGGGACTTTACAAGAGAAGTGCTGGCAATACCTGGAGGATTCCTTCTGGGACAGGAGTGACTGGGAAGCTAATGTTTCGCAAGTGTGGTCCTATATGTGGAGAGCAGGCTCTGTGCTCAAGTTTAGGTAGTGCCTGCCCATTATGCCAGATCCAAAGCAGAACTAATTTTAGCAAAGAGAGATGTCAAGCACCCTCGAACAAGGTCTGTGCTCTGCAGCATTCGGAGTACTACAGTGCTAGTCCAGGCATTACAAAAGGTAGAAGTCAAAGAGAAGAGAGTCATTGTTGCATTGCAGGGGTGACACAGCCCTTAGTATTTCCTAGTTTCCAGAGATTGATGTTAAACTAATCTCCACTTTCTGGAAGGGCACAAGGCACCAGCGTAATCTTAGCACAATATTAAGAGGCATTTAACTTTTCTGTTTTTTGAACCACACACAACCACCACATCAACCACAACCTTACTCCATTCCATCCCTTTGTGCCCTCTGGCTCCTTGGCAACAATTACCTCAGCCACAGAGCACACAGGCTCATGATAGTCCCTTGAACGTCAGCATGGGACCTGCTTGCCAGAAGAGGAAACATAAGGGAAATAGGAGTTTTGCATTTCCAGCTCTGCTTACAAAAATCTGAAGTCTAACAAGCCTACTGATGACACAACATTCCCCCTTCTTTCAGCAGAAAGGAGGGAAGCATTCCTAAATCCAAGATTTGGCAGCAGTATGGTACTTGGATATAAGCAATGTCACATCCAGATCCTGTAAAGTGTTGCTTTAGTTCTAAACCAGGGGTGGGCAAAATACGGCCCGCGGGCCACATCCGGTCCTTGAGGCCATTCTATCTGGCCCGTGGGGCCCCTAAAAAAATGTAGAAAATTAATATTTCTCTGCCCTTGGTTTCTGTCAAAAATGCAGGAACCATGGGCAGTAGGACCCAGGGGAAGCCCAGTGGGCTCCAACAACAGTAGGGCCCGCCCGGCCCCACCCCCCCAGCCAGAAGCCCCAGCCAGGGTTTTTGGCTGGGAACATGTGGCTGCCATGGCGAGCGAAGCTCAGGTAAGTGGAGGCGGGGGGGACCCTGGGCAGGGAAGGAGCGCGGGGGTGGGGGGAGGAGTGGCCCCTCCCCCTCGCCCCCCCCATGGCCAGCACCCCATGCTGCAGCCACCTGCAGCCCACATGAGGCTGCCTGTGAGTGCCGGCCATGGGGCGGGTGAGGGGCCACTTTTCCCCATGCTCAGCACCATCTTCTTCCCTGTTGGCAAGCAGGCAGTCAGGGCTCTGCGCTGCCCCCCGCCTGTACCGCAGGGCTAGGGGGCACTGGGTGCGAGTAGGTGGGGAGCCAGTGGAAGCACGGGGCCCGCACTGGCGTCCTGGGGCCAGCACCGGTGGGGCCCAGAGCAGGGTGGCAGGAGTGTGGGTTTCCAGCCGGCAGGGGCTCTATGGAGCCAAGCCAGCTCCCCCCTCTCCCTGCTGGTGCAGCCCAACCCAGCCCCACAGACCCATGCCAGCCTGCATCCCTTTCTGGGCCACACTGGTGCTGGCCCTGGGACATTGGTCCCAAGATGGTGACCAGGGGGTGGGGCACCTGTCAAGGGGCGAGGCTACCCATGCAGCCGACAGCCTACCAAAACTGGGTAAGCGGCCATTCGCCCAAAATAATTGCCCGCCCCTGTTCTAGAATGCTGACACAAGGGGAAAGTGGTAGAGTAGCTACACGACTTGGGATCAAGGCTACAATTATAACTGGGGAAGGAAACCCCCCCCCCCAATGTATCACTTGGAATTAACCACAGTAAAACACTCTTACTTAAGATTTTCCCTTTTTGTCCTTGCCCCAAATAACAGAACTACCCCAGGCAGAGAGCTCTTACTGAAATAGGAGTTGATGACCCCTCTGCTTGGAAACTGTAGCTGCACTGCTGATCACCTCTGGGGATGTGAACATACATGGAAGCCTTGCATTCGTTCCATTCTCCACAAACATCTCTTCTGGCGTTGTCACCTCCACTGCTGATACGCTAACTGCATGAACAGGTGGGGGTGTTAAGAAGCAGGGAGAGAGGGAGGAAAAAAAAAAAAGAGAAAGAGAGAAGTCAGAAGCAGTCTTTCAGGATAAAAACCACATGGAGGGATGTGGCAGGGTGCTTAGGGCACCTGCCACTTTAAGGGGTCAGGCAGCCAGCAAAGCAGCTTGCATGTGGAAACAGGGCTAATTATGGAGCCATCTGACTCTGGAAGCCTGCAGAGAAATTATTAGGGGTGTGCAAAGCTTTGGTCACCGATTCAATTCGAAGAAGATTCGGCCAGGTTCAGAGGCCAAATTACCAAATCGTGAGACCAAAAAAAACAGTCCAAATTGATTTGGAAAAGGGTTTGGAGATTCAGAGATTAGGAAGGCAGTATTTCAGGGAAACAGAAACTGAGAAGAGGTAGGGGGAAAAGAGTGACATCTGTAGCTGGCCAGTGACTGATTTTTCCCTGAGTCCCCTTCCAATCGCAGGGCTCTGGGGGAAGGATGTAGAAACAGCTACCACCCCTGCATTTTCATCCCATTGCGCCTTAACACACACAAAGTCACACGTCATGAGTTTTGCTTTGAACAGTTTGAGGTGCAGTTTCCCAGAAACCCCTGTACTTATATCTCCTTGAAACCTTCATGCCCTGAGAAGGGGCTATCATCCTTGCTGTTTCCATCCAAATCTGCCAAAAAATGACTAAGTTATAGGTATTTCGGTGATTCCCCATTATAGTCTATGGCCGAATCACCAAATCTCTCCGAATCAGTGCCAAATCTTCCAAAGCTGATTCAGCCGAATCGATTTGGGACAGTGATCTGAATCTCCAAATCAAATCACTGTCCTCCAAATCAACCAAATACTTCTCTATTTGCACAGGCCTAGAAATTATCTGACTGGATGAAGAAGTCATCTGACCCAGAACGAGGGCTAGGCTTAGACAGGATATAAGCCCAGGCCCTGCGCAGAGTTGGCAGTAACATCTTGGAGGCTGCTGGGAAAACACTGCCTCAGCAGAACGGCTGCAAAAGGTTAGCACAGTGAACAATATCTAGAGCCGTCTGGAGGTCTGGCAAGGAACTAAAGGTGTGAAAGAGGTTCCTAGAGACCCAGGGAAGGATTCAAGGTCCAGAGAGCAGGGCTAGAAATAGAGGACCTATTGAGGGGTCCAGGTCAGCCCAAGGAGAGAGGCTGCGTGTGCGAGACCTATTGAGGGGTCTGAGTGAGATGCACAAGGGGCCCAAGAGGGCAGACCTTAGATGACAGAAGGCTGACAGCCAGAGGACTGACCCACAGTATCTCACTGGCCTGGGCAGGATAGGCCAAATGCCCAGGAGGGACCACTGCCAGAACCAGGGAGCCAGCCCAGAGATCTTGCTGGTCCAGGTGTAGAGAACCACAGCCAGAGAGTGTCCAGCAGCAGCTTCTGCCTGGCAGCCACTGTCACTTATTGTGGCCAGAGCAGGTGCTGCAGAGACCCCCACCCTGTGCGCAGGTTGAGGCAGGCCAGGGCTGCGCACTGAGCCCACGTTTGGGCCCTGGCTGGTCTCCATGGCGTCATGGCCAGCGGCAGCAGCTGCTGGAAAAAGCAGCCACCACCAGAGCTGCTGGGAAATGGCATCTGGCTGCAGAGCCACCCGGCCCTGCTGCACGCCTGGTCAGCATGGCAGGATGCACCACGGGCTGAATGACACCTGTGCCAGGCAGGACAAAGGCCTGCTGCAGGCTGGACAAAATCCCTCTGCAGGCTGAAATCTGGCCCATATTTTGCCCATCCCTGGCCTAGAGATTGGTCCTGCGTAAAACCTGAAACTGCACCCTACCGTGGCTGGTCAGCATGGTGGCAGAGCAGCCTCTGCAAAAATGCCACACATTGCCACCTCAGGAAAAAGCAAGTATGGGGCACCTAAAAGCCTCAGCTCCTATAGCCTTGTGGGTCACTCTGTGGAGGGGGAAGGCTAAGAATGTGCTTCCATACATATTCACCACACCCTAATAGAAAAGGAAGGGAGACAGTGGGATCAGAAAGGTTTGGAGGCCCAGAAAGAAGCCAGAAAAAAGTGGAACCAGGGGTCTGAGGACCCAGAGAAAGGATCATGTGACATCAAGGGCTGGGGCAGCCCAGGAAGGGGCTGACTGGGAGATGGAGAGGTCTTAGGGCCCAGTGAGCAGCTGAAAGAGAGACCAGAAAGGTCTAGTAGCCCAGTAAGGGGTCGAGTGAGAAACCAAGAGATCAGGCAGCCCAGAGAAAGGGTTGTGGGGGAGACCAAGGAGTCTAGGAGCCCAGAGAAGGGCTGCGTGTGTAAACAGAGGACATCTGCGAGGTTTGGGGTGTCGTTTAGGAATGGAACAGAGCTATGCAGTTAGCCCAAAGGGCACTGACCACAAACTCTGGGTGGTCGTTGTAGTAAGATTAGGGAAGCCTCCAACATTTTATACAACTAATCACATCAAAACATAGCAGGTGAGAAGGGCAGACTGCCCACAGAGCAAGGTAAAAGAAAAGTTTTGGCCTCCAGGGGCTTCACGGTCACCCCTGAAAATGGTGCCAGGGGTGGCTGTGGTTTGAGAGAGGGGTTTATGGTTTGAGAGAGAGAGAGAGAGAGAGAGAGACACAGAGAGAGAGAGAGAGAGAGAGAGAGAAGCCAAAACCAGCCCCAATACACCATGACAAGGCATAAGCAATACTGAACAAAAGGCAAGCTGACAGCATAAATACACAGGCTAGTTTCTTTTCCCTTCCTTACAGCAATTGCTACAGGATGGTTTGTGTTCTCAGATGCTTTCTGTGCTGCAGCTGCAAGGGCTAGCGCTGTAGGATAAGATGAAAATGTCTAAGGTCATCCTATGTCTCAAAAAATTGCTAATAAAAGTTTTACCAATGAAGCAATCTTGAGAAAAAGTCTAGAGTGAGGCCCAAAACTTCTACCAGCTTCCTGTTTGGACCAGATCTTTTCATTCCACTTTCCTCTTCCCAGCTGCAAGTGGAATAAATGAGCTCAGCTCCACTTGGGACAAAGTGGAAAAGCCAACTGACATTTGGAGCTACTAAAGCATACTATGAAACTTTAGAAAGACAGCAGGTTTCCGTTCCATAGTGTACATTAGTACAAATCCATGATAGGCACAGGCACTCTGAATCAGGGCACCCAATTTAATCACAATTAAAATCAAGCAAGAGAACTAAATTTAAATAGTCTTTTTTAAATCTTATTTTGGATTTGCACTTGTTATTTTCCTAGAGGCTGCTTCTTGTCAATTGCTACAGTCACTCACACACATTGATCTGCAGCTAAATACAGTCTTTATCCTAAATTTGAGATGTTTTCTGCTGACCAGAAACACACAGTATATTACATACCCTCATTCAAATTCTTCACTTTATTTACATTTTTATGATGAATAATTCATTTTACTTGATTTTCCCCTTCATGATGCATCAGGCCTTATGAAAGAAAACATGTAATTGTAACAAAAGTGCACAAGCAGGTTTTATTAGTTAAGTAAGACTGCACTGACTACGTACACAAAAAACATGTCCTGACAAAAATAAAAATAAAAAAAAAGACATTATAGCTTAGGGAACTGAGCCAATTGTTTCTGGTTACCAAAGTTTTTAATATTGTAAAAACAACAGATATTCTCGCCTCTCTTCCCTCCCCACCATACTGCTCCCCCCCTCCGCGCACACATGCACAAAGCATTGGGGGGGGGGAGCTGTTCAGGTTTGCCAGATCCCCACTGATCAGAACTAACTTTTCCTCAACTAGTTAAAACATCTTCATGTGAACTGTTCATTCAAAAAGACACTGGCTGCCAAAACCTGACACAGCACTGTAAACTCTGGTTCCACACACTTAGCCAACAACATGCACTAGTTCAGTGGTTTTGAACATATTGGCAATAAACACATACTGCTTACTTGTTTTAACACATTATAAGTTTAAAACTCAAAGCAGATTGTCTTAATCTCAATTTTAGATTTAAAGTATATTCAGTTTAATTTAAAAAATGCTTTTCAAAAGTTAAGTATACAGGTTGTAGCCGTATTGGTCTAAAGGAAAAGGCAATCAGGACTCATAGTAGAGATGATGTCTTTTTTTAGACCAACAAGATTTTTCAAAATATGAAAGTTCATACTTCATAGGGTTTCACAGAGGAGTTAATACATGGAAAACTCCTCTGGGCAGTCAGTTCATAGCTAGTATGGAGCCTCTCCTCCTGTGAGGATCTGTGATGATGCAAATTACCTTGAAACAAAGGAAGGAGCAGGATCCCGGTTGTTAGGTGGTAACAGTTGCTTCCTGCTTGGGAAAATATGAAGAACCTGGTCCTGCCTTTGTTTCAAGGTAATTTGCATCCTCACAGATCCTCACAGGAGGAGAGGCTCTATACCAGCTATAAATTGACTGCACAGAGGCGTTTTCTATCTATTGACTCCTCTTTCAAATCCTATAAAATATGAACTTTCATTTCTACCCAGGAGAACTTTTACAATCTTTCTCCAATGCTTGATGAAGGGTGTTGGTGCCTGAAAGCTTGCAATTAAAGAACTTTTTGCAAAAATCTTGTTGGTCTAATAAAAGATACATCTCTACTACAAGTTCTGATTGCCTTTTTAAAAAATTAATAAATTTGACATAAAAGCTTATAAACAGGCTCTCGAAAGTATTTCTAGTGACAATTTATTTGCTGGGATTGCTGGTCTTACTGAATCAGCTAAAGAGGTGCTCTGCTTGCCATGTTGAGTGAAGCACTTTTGCCCCTCTGTTTCCTGGGACAGGAACAATTAAGTTTCAGAATCCTGCAATAGGCTGAAGCCCTGATTCTCCTATCTTATTATTACCATCAAACAAGAGTTTAGACCAGTGAGTCTCATCTAGGGTACAGCCAGATCCTTTGAAGGGTGACCCAAGGTGTGAGGAGTTAAGGCATACGCAGATAAATGCCAGCTCAGGCTTGTCCTTGCCAGGCCAGTCCCTCACCCCTACTGCCCAATCTCTCTGA